ATTCCAGTCTGTACGTATTAACTCATTAACTTCCACAACAACTTAGAGTAAAGATACGTTTTACAAATGAGGAAATGGAGGCACAGAGAGGTTAAATACCTTGCCCAAAGTCACATAGCTGGTAAGTGGTGGAGCCAGGATTCAAACCTTGGCATTCTGGCCTGCTCCTGAGGCCTCACAGGTGGTTCGGGGGGATATGTCACAGGCAGACAGACCAGGGGTCAGTGTGGTGAGAAGAGGAGGTTAGGGAAAGCCTCACTGAGGAGCTGACATTTGATCAAAGATCTGGCCGAGGTGAGGGAGCCACGTGGACATCAGGAAGAGTATTCTAGAAGGGAGGACAAGCAAGAGCAAGGGCAGGAATGGCCTTGGTGTGTGAGAGAAGATGGGGAGGCCGGTCGGCTGGAGTGAGGTGGGCAAGAGGGAGCACGGTGGTAGGAAATGAGGTCGGCTCCTCACAGGGCCTGGCAGGGCCTGGCAGGGCCTGGTGTTGGCTGACGGGTGGCCACAGAGAGTGTGAAGCAGAGGAGGATGTGAGCTGATGTGGTCTGGCTGCAGTGTGTGGAGAGCAGACTGGGGGTGAGGACACAGCAGGGGACCACAGCCATTAGGGGGAGGGCTGGTGTGGTTTGGCCCAGGTAGGGGCGGTGGGGGATGGGGAAGGAGCAGATTCTGGATGGTTGATTCTGGATGGTTCTGCAGGTGGAGGCACCAGGACTGGCTGATGGACGAGGTGGTGCAGACACCCGGGGACAGACAGAGAGACAACTCCAGCCAGGTGAGTTTGAGACATCTGTCAGACAGCTGAGCGGATGAGTGAGAAGGCAGGTGGACCTGCCAGTCTCAGGTCTGAGAAGGAGCTGTAGGCTGACTACGGGCGCCTGGTTTCCAGCCCATGTTGATTCTTGTTGGAGCTTGAAACCCTTTTGTTGAAACAGGAACATTTTGAAAACAGCAAGAGAAGAGTGACTCATCACATACAAGGAACCCCGTAACATGATCAGCATAGTTTTCAAGAGAAACCTTGAAAGCCAGGAGAGAGTAAGATGATATGTTTCAGGTGCTGAAGGAAGAAACCTGCCAACCAAGAATACTGTACCTGGCAAAATTGCCCTTTAAAAAAGAAGAAAGACTTTCCCAGAGAAACAAAAATTGAAGGGCTTTGTTACCACTAGACCTGCCTTACGAGAAGAACTTCAAGTTGAAATGGTAGGGTGCTAAACAGCAACACAAAAGCATATGAAGGTATAAATCTTACCATAAAGGTAAATCCATAGACAAACACGAAACAATGTAATACTGTAGTGGTGGTGCATGAATCACCTTTAACCACGGTATAAAAGTTAAAAGACAAAAGTATCAAGAATAACTATAACTACAAAAATCTGTTAATGGATGCACAACATAAAAGATGTGAATTGTGACATCAACAAAATAAAATGTGTGCCCAGGACCAGATGTCTTCACAAGTGAATTCTACCAAACACTTAAAGAAGAGCTAATACCAATCCTTCTTATACTGTTCAAAAATAAAAGAAGGAATACTTCTGAACTCATTTCAGAATGAGTGAGGCCAGCATTACTGTGACAGCAAGGCCACACAAAAAATTAGAAATAGAACTACCATATGCTCCAGCAATCCCACTCTGGGTATAAACCCAATGGAACTGAAATCAGGATCTCAAAGGATGTCGACACTCCCATGTTCATTGCAGAATTATTCAGGAAAGCCAAGACGTGGAAGCAACCCAAGTGTGTACCAACTGATGAACGGATAAACAAAATGTGATATACACACAATGGAATATTGTTCAGCCTTGAAAAAGGAGATCCTGCCATTTGTAACAACTTGGATGAATCTGGAGGACGTTATGCGAAGTGAAGTCAGTCAGACACAGAAGGACAAATACTACAGAACAGCACTTGCATGAGGAACCTAAAATACTCAAACTCACAGAAGAAGAGAGTAGAGTGGTGGTTGCTGGGGGCTGAGGAAAGGGGAAATGGAGAGGTATCACTCAAAGGGTACAGTCTCAGTTGGTGAAGACGAGCACGTCCTGGAGATCTACGGTGCAGCACAGCGCCTCTGGGTAACAGTGCTGGCTGGTGCACTTAAAACTTTGCTCAGAGGGTAAATTGTATGTTAAGTATCTTATCACACACACACAAAATAATAAATAAAAAGAGTGAAGGAACCTTTTGGAGGTGACAGCTATGTTCACGGCATAGACGGTGGTGATGCTTTCACAGATGAACACTCATCTCCAAAGTCATCAAATTGTGTGTGTTCAATCTGCACAGCTTTTGCATGTCGATTATACCTCAAGAATATGGTTTTAAAAAAGTAAGAGTGGGTGAAGAGGAAACTGACTTGGTCTAGAAGCTGCTGCAGGCCTCGTGGACAAGGTGACTGGGACGCTTTTACACTCCCTGCTGAGTGAGCAAAGCTGGCATAGGATGATATAAACCGTCATTTTGACCATATAACAAAATGGATAGAATGCAAAGTCCGGAAGGAAACATGCAAAAATATCACAGTGATGACCCCCAGGTGGTGGCATTACAGATGATTTCTACTTGTTTTTCTTAAGCGTTCCTGTATTATTGTCACACAAGACAAACAAAGGTGATTTCAAAATCCGAACTTGTGCCAGTCACAGTGATTAGTTGCAGACGACAAAACACTCTTTCTGGTTCGAGCAGAGGGGAATCTGTTCATAGGTGCTAGGACTGAGATGCCAGGACCACCAGGGGACCAAGCTTGGATGCCCCATGGCCACGGACAACACTAACAGTCACCTGGACAATCAGTAAGCCCGCCCTCGACTGTTGCCGTGGAAACCCCACTGCCTGTGATGCTCAGGCGCAGACACTGGAGCGTGCTGCTGTGGGAGAACCGGACCCTCTGACCCCTGCCAGCCAGGAGCCCCATCCTCCACCACCTTGGGGGGCTCACTTCCACCTTTTAAATCTCGGGCAGGCATCTGTCCAGAGGAGCTGAGGCCTCTGGCAGAACCCTGGCTGCAAGGGAGTCAGGGAGAAGTTTTTTCCAGACTCCCATGCAGCGAAGCACAGAAGGAGGGGTGGGCATACGTGTTGAGTGAGTCAGCTTGCAGGGTCCACCAGAGGTGTGAAATAAGAGTGACAAAAATGATCACTTGCACCCTTGACCTTCTGAAGGCCACGTGAAGGCTGTTATCCATGTGCTATAATGAGGACAGCAGGAAGCTCTCTCTTAGTCCTGGGAACACTGGCTCTCAGAGCCCCTGCCCTAGCCTCCACAGTGCACACTGGCCTGACTCCCACTCACCAGCACTTCTCTGCCTGGGGACTTTCCTTATTGCTGGAGACACCTTGGGCCCCTGGGTGATAGGCTCAAGTATAGAGACTTGCTGTCCTCTAGGAGCACCTTCAGCCAGTACCCCAGCTACCTCACCCCTTGGGTGGGAGAGCTTTGAGTGGCATGCTCTGCCCCGGCTGCCAGGGCTCCTTGGTGGGCCAAGCTCCTGTTGCCCACAGCAGTGGGTGTCCAGACTGGGGGCTCGCATAGTGGCTGGGCAGCTCGATAGGAGCTGTTACTAGCTGTGCTCTCTTTCCTCTCTCCCTTCCCTATCCTTCTGCCTTTGCCTCCTGGATAAACTCCTCCTCCAGAATCCTTCTCTCCACGTCTGCGTCTGGCACCACACAAGCTGAGGCCTCCGTGGCCTAAGCATGCGCACATGTAAAGCCTCGTCCCGGCTCTGGAAGTCCTGCTGGGGACAGTCCCCTGGGCTGTGAGTTAACAGGTGTGAGGCTGCTTCTGTGACCTTGCATCTGCTCACTCGTTTGGAAAGTCATCCTGTTCCTGGTTCTCATCCTAGTGGGCAGGAACCCAGAGGGCTCCAGGACGCTCTTAGCTGCCCAGTGCCTCCCCTCCCTGCACCCCCCCAGTGCTGAGGCCAGGACCACGTGTTCACATAGGTGTCATCCACCTGAGAGTTCTGCCCAGCCCCTCTCTGCCTCTTGTCCCCACATCATTTGGTGTTCCTTCGGCCCTGGGACTGGTGATAATGCTCCATAGTGTTCAAGGACATCCTCTGAATCTGTCACCTTTGGTTTAAATGGGATTCTGCCGTGTGTTGCTGTTAGTGTGTGAGGCTGGGGCCAGCTTTGTCCTGGGTTCACTGAACCAACAGTCTCCTGGAGCCTGCTCTGCTTGGTGCACAAGGATGCTGGCTTTGGTGCATGGGGGCGGGTCATATACTTCAGACATCAGCTGCTCTCCTTCACTGCAGGTCTGCCCCTGAGCAGTGGCCCATGGCCTGGTGGCAGGGAGCTCACATTCTCATCTTACACCTTAAGTCAGGAGTGAGAGAAGCAGCTTTACTGATCAACTACTCTGCGCCAGGCACGTACCTTGTCTCCTTACAGCATTCTTGGGAGCTAATAGCTACTATCATCCTCAATCCACAGATGAGGAAACTGAGGCTCCTACAGGTTGGGTGACTCAGAGGTCCCTTGGGGCTGGGGCTGGGGCCAGGAGGGTCTGACTCTGGGCCTGTGCTTGTTCCCTGGTGTGTTCCACCTATCAGACACGGGACATCAGAGCAATAGGGTTCCTGGTCTGCTGCATTGCTGCACCTCGGCCATTTGTCAAGGAGCCTCTGTGCTGTCGTGGCACTGGGGACCTACAGTGAACCTACACATCCCTTGTCCTCACGGGGGCTTCCTCCTAACGAGGAAGGCAGAGACGGTGAACAGATGTAAGTAAGACGGCTTCAGGGGCCCTGAGTGAAGGCTGCCATGCGGGGGACAGTGGAGAGGCTCTGAGGAGGAGTCTGTCTCCTGTTGGGTGACAAACAACCCCAAAACTGAGCAGCCCACATCAGCAAATGTTTATTTTCTGGTCTCTGTGGGTCAGGAGCCCAGGGGCAGCACGGCTGGGTAGCTGACTCAGGGGCTCTCAAGAGATCAGTTGGGATGTCAGCTGGGGCCGCATCGTCCCAGGGTTGGAAATCTACCTGTAAGCTCCCGGGTGTGGCTGGTGGCAGGAGGCATCAGGTCCTCACCACATGGGCCTCTCCACAGGGCTGCTCACAGGCAGGGCAGCTGGCTTCCCTGGGGAGAGATGGAGATGGGGGTACGCACGTGCACACACACGCCCCGCCTGCTTTCCTCCTGCACGGCTGGTATAAAACGGAAAACAAAACAAGGACAAGCACCCTCTCCTGCTGTTCCCAGGCCGCCCTTCCTCCCTGTGTGGGGTCTGCTTTCCTTCAGGCTTCTTGAGAATGGCCTTGGAGAGTCATCCAGCTGACAGAGAGCTGTCTGCACCTTGTCCCTGTCCCCTGGGGCAAAGAGACAGCACGAGTTTCTGCTGGCCATACTGGTCCTCCATCACCTGCCAGCAGAGGGGACAGTGTGGTGGGCACCGATGCCCACTTGGAATTGCTGGACAGGACTCTAGTGTCCTTCTAGAACAAGGGGTTTCCATTCAGGCAGCTGCAGCACACGTTACTGGGAACTCCCTGCTTTGGGTCTTATTTGCTGTTGGCTAGAGTGCCGGGTGGGGGAGGTTGGGCGCTGCCAGGGGAGTCCACCTGCGACAATGGGCCTGGATGTGCGAGGAGCAAAGGGAAGGCTCCCTGCTCCTTTTGAAAATAATAATCCATCAATTTGTGGACACTCATTTTTTCCATTTTAAAATTGTGACTTAAACACAGAAAAGATACACACAAAATATCTATTCATGCATATGCATATGTGTGCATGTATACAGTTTAAAGCTGCATGTAGTATAGATGTCTGCATTCTCCACCCACGTCAGTAGATGGGACATTTCCAGCAGTCCAAAAGCATTCATGTCCCTCCTGACAAAGGCCCCTCTCCCTGGGGTGACAGGTGCCCTGACTATTGTGACAGTCGTGGTCCCTGCTCAGCCTCATAGTCTCACTCCCCAGGGGGCACCCTTAGCTGAGGCATTGAGTTTTGCCCATTTTCCTTAATTGGATTGTGATGCACACCCTGTTTGGGGACTGGTTACCTGGGCAACTCACCCGGCTGCTGGTAGCAGCCAGGGTGCATGTATTCCCGCGGCTGTTTAGTGTCCCTTGCATGGATGGGCCACATTCACTCACTGTCCCAGTGAGACACGCGGGCCTATTCCAGCTCAGGGCTCTGGGCCGGGTCCCACACTTCACTGGCCTTTATTCCTGGGAACAGAACTCCTGGGTCCAAAGGCGCTCTGCCCTTCCTGGGCAGTACCACTGTCTTCTCTGAAAGGGAGCGCGTGTGTACAGGTCCTGGGCTGAGTTCAGGCAGGGACAGCGTCCTCCAGGAGGATCAGCTGCAGACTGGCCTGGGTGGTGGGAAGGGGCCAACTGCTCAGAGACGGATGACCGGGGATGCCTGGCCTAGGGTGTGGAGGGCGGTCAGTGGTGTCCCTGCAGAGACGTGGCTGCTGAGAGGGGTGATGGCAGGTGTTAGCTACGTGGAGCAACCCGGCAGGAGGAGGTGGGTACAGGGCGTTGAGGCTGGGGGCATCCCTCAGCTCGGCGCCGCAACAGAGTGCCATAGACGGGGCCGCATGAACAACAGTTCATTTTCCCACAGTTCTGGAGGCTGTAAGCCCCAGATCAATGTCTGGCACGGTGGGTTCCCGGGAGGACCCCTCCTCCTGGCTGGCGCCTTCTCCCCACGTCCTCATGTGGCAGAGAGAGAGCTCTTGTCTCCCTTCCTCTTGTCAGGGCACTGGTCCTACTGATTTATGGCCCCAACCTTATGGCCTCATTTAGCCTTCAGCACCTCCTCACAGGCCCTGTCTCCAGAGACAGCCACACTGGGGGTTTGGGCTTCAACACAGGAATTTGCGGGGGTGGTGGTGGGGGACACATTCAGTCTGTAACAAGGGGTGAGGGCCTCTGAGGAACTGGGGTGTGCATGGAGCAATGGGCGAGGGGTGTTGTGGTCACCTGTCGTTGTGTAACAAACCACCCCCAAACTTAGTGGTTTAAAACGAGAATCACCTATTCACTCAGGATTTCAGTTTGGGCCCGGCCCTGGGGGACAGCTCCTCTCTGCCCTCTGTGACATCAGCTGAGGCCTTGCTCACAATGCTGGCAAGCTGGTGCTGGCTGACAGCTGGGAGCACAGTGGAGCTCGTGGCCCGGGGGACCTTGGTCATCCTGCGTGTGGCCGAGTGGGCTTCCTTTCAGCGTCATGGCTGGTTCCAAAGAGTGAGAAAGTGACACTTGCCAGTCGTTTTCAAGGTTGGGCCTGAACCTGGCTGGAGTGTCATTCCTGCCATCATAGAAGCCACAGAGTCCAGGTACAGCTACTGGCCGTTCCTACCAAAGACCTCATCTTTTTGGGGGTTTTTTGAATAAAACTGATATATATTTAAGGTGTATGATGTGCTTTGCTACTTGGATACATAGTGAAATGGTTTCTACAATACAGCTAATATGCCCACCTCCTCACATACTTGTCTTTTTTTTCTTGGTACAAGCACCTAAAATCTATTCTCAGCGAATTTCCCGTGTATGAGACGGCCTTGTTAACTGTAGTCATCCTGCGTGCTGCACGTTAGATCTCTAGATTGACTCATCCTACTAATGGCAGTTTGCACCCTTTGACCCCCCTCCCCCCCCATTTCCCCAGCACCTGCCCCTGGTGACCACACAGGCCTCGGGAAACGCGCCACCTTTTATGCTGGCATCACCTCCTGGGCTAAATATCTTGTCCTTGAAGCACATATTGCGCAGCTCTTTCCCCAAGCCAGAACAACCCCAGACAGTTAAGACACGGGGCAAGAGCACACCACCGCTGGGAGAGTCGGGGCCAGCTGTCCCAAACGCTGGGCCCCCCTCTGTGGCCAGTGCAAGGGCTCTCCATGGCTGGAGTTGCAGTGGAGTGTGTGCCTTTTTCTGGGGTGGGGTCCCTGGCTTTGATCAGATGCTCTATGGGGCTCTCACCCAGAGAAGGGGTGACGTGATCATGACCACGGGTCTGATCACGGCTCTGCAGTGTGGCTGTGAGAGAAGGATAGTCTGTCCAGACTTGCCGAGCCCACCTCACAGGAGCCACGGTGCATCACATGCCCGCTCCCCACCGGCCGCTCAGCAGGAGGCCAGGAGTGCAGGTATCCAAATTCACTCACATTTGTGTTTTCTTTTCCCAACTTTTTCTTGTGGAAAACTTCCAATATACACAAAAGCAGACAATACAGTATAATGACCACCCTTCCCCACGTGCCCAACTTCTACAATTACCAGCTCTTAGCGACTCTTATGTCATCTGTCCCGCCTCCTCTGTCCCCCTTTCATATTACTTTTCTCAATTTTTTTATAGACTAGCACACTTACTGAAAAGTGCTTGTGTCCTAAGTGTGCACAGGGTGAGTTTGCACACTGTGAGCTCACTGGTTAGGATCCTCGTACCCACTTCTGCTGTGTGTGTTGGGGTAAGTGTTCCCACCCCACCTGCAATTCCCTGACCCCTGACAATTCCCTGACAGTTCACCTCGATTCTGACCCTCTCCACTGGAGCCAGCATCACATTCCACAGCCCGAGGGCTCGGTCCCACCAGACAGCCTCCACTTCAGATGCCAGTCACAAGCCCAGGTTGTCACCTGTGCTTCTGACCAACAAGATATAAATCAGAGGTCAGTATGACCCCCTCTTTGGGCTCCATTAATTTGCTAGAGTGGCTCACAGGACTCAGGAAACCCGTTTACTCACTAGATTACTGGTTTATTACATAAGATATGAAGATATAACTCAACTAGACGAAGATACACATGGCGAGGTCCCTGACAAAGGAGCTTCTGTCCTTGTGGAGTCTGGGGCCTGGCAGGTGGCCCGTCGAAGCATGCTAGTTCCTCACCTGCAAGTGCTCTGAACCTCTTTTGGGTTTGAGGTTTTTAAGAGGGTTCATTATTTAGGCATGATGGAGTAGCTCATTGACCTTTGGTGATGGGGTCAACTGCAAGCCCCTCTCCCCTCCACGGAAATCGGGGGGTGAGACTGAAAGTTCCAACCCTCTGATCATGGTTGGTTCCGCCAGCAACCAGCTCTCACCGTTAGGGGCTTAAAAAGTCACCTCATGAACAGAGACCCAGTTGTGGTAGACTGGGCCTTATCATGAATAACAAGACACCCATTTCACCTTTGTGCTCTGAAGCAATTTCAGGAGTGGAGGACCAGAGACCCAATATTACAACCAAATATGCTTCCATTGCTCTTGTCTCTCCGGAAATGCAAAGGGCTTTGGGAGCTGTAAGCCAGGAACCAGAGAGGCAGACCAAAGATATAGAAGAAGTATATTTTGGTCATCTGAATGACCAAATGTTGATTTCTCTTTAGTCACCATATCACATCTGGGTAGCCAGTCCTTGGATCAGGAGTCAAATATTATCAGCACTCACAAGCCACCCTGGCCGCTTCTGTCACTGCCCTCAAGTAACCTCTGTCCTGACTTCTAACATGACAGACTGAGGCTGGTTTGCTCGCTGGCTGCTGAGACGGTGACAGGAGCATGGCGTAGCAGGCAGTGGGTGGAGTGGGTTGAGTCGGCAAACCTGGGTTCAAAATGTGCCTCAGTGCTGGCTGGTCATGTGACTGTGGCAGTTACACAGCCTCCAGGAGCCTCAGTCCCTCTTTTATGCAGCAAGACCACGCTGGACCTGCCAGGTTGCTGTGAAAAACATTAGTAACATGCACCAGGCCCAGCCCAGGGCTTGGCATGTGAGGAGTGGCACTGAGCATCACTGTCATTGGTGTTATTTCCATTTTTGCACTTGTGGTGAGATGGCAGGTGGCCTGTGGCCCTGGCAGGCCTTGTGTAGCTGTGGCGAGAGCTGTGGACAGCCAGAGCCTTCGAGACAGCTGACAACTGCTTTATGGCATCCCAGAGAAATCATCCTGCACCTGACTGTCAATTAGCTCAAAAGGCAACCTGAGGGATCGGCCCCTTGGCCAAGTGGTTAAGTTCGCGTGCTCTGCTGCGGCGGCCCAAGGTTTCGCTGGTTCGGATCCTGGGCGTGGACATGGCACTGCTCATCAGGCCACGCTGAGGCAGCATCCCATGTGCCACAACTAGAAGGACCCACAACTAAAATATACAACTACGTGCCTGGGGGATTTGGGGAGAAAAGGCAGAAATAAAAAAAAAAAAAAGATTGGCAACAGTTGTTGGCTCAGGTGCTAATCTTTAAAAAAAGAAATATATAAAAAAAGTAAAAAAAAAAAAACCCCACTACCTGAGTAACACTGTCACTGACACAGCAGACACAGGACGGGGCACAGGGTGGTCTCCTGTGATCAGCAGAGGTGGTTCTGTGGAGAAGCCGTCCCCAGGGCTTTCTGTGCTGACGGGGCCGTGCAGCTACTTTGTATAGTTACTGAAATGGCAATCTAATTCCCTTCTCATTTTCCTTCATGTATATTCTACAGCTCTTTGTGGTTACCATGGGATTACACTTAACATCTTAAAGTCAGAACACTCGAATGTCAATTTACACCAGCTCAGCTTCAGTAACGTACGAAACTCAGCTCCTACAGAGCTCGGACTCCACCCCATTTCAGTTCTTTTTTTTTTTAAGATTTTATTTTTTTCCTTTTTTCCCCAAAGCCCCCCGGTATATTGTTGTATATTCTCCATTGTGGGTCCTTCTAGCTGTGGCACGTGGGACGCTGCCTCAGCGTGGTTTGATGAGCAGTGCCATGTCCTCGCCCAGGATTCGAACCAACGAAACACTGGGCCGCCTGCAGCAGAGCACGCGAACTTAACCACGAGGCCACGAGGCCAGGCCCCCATTTCAGTTCTTAATGTCACAAAATTACATCTTTAGGCACTGAGAGTCCAAAAACAGATACTAAGAATTGGGGTTTTTAATATTTTAGTCTTTTAAATGTAGAAAACAAAACATGGAGCTACAAACCAAGTTACAACAGTACCAGCTTTTATAATCATCCACATACTTACTTTGACCAGAGGCCTTTATTTCTGCTTAAGTCGTTGAGTTCCTGTCCAGTATCCTTTCCTTTCAGCCTGAAGGACTCCCCTTGCTGGAGGCAGGTCTGGAGTACAGCACTCTCTCAGCCGTGGGTTCTATGGGAATGTCTTAATTCCTCCCTCATGTTTTAAGGACAGTTCTGCCAGATATAGGATTCTTGGTTGGATTCTTTTTTCCTTCTGCACTTTGAGTACATCAGCCCATGCCCTCTGGCCTCCAAGGTTTCTGGTGAGAAATCAGCTCCTGATCTTACTGGGGAAAATATGATGAAAGCTCTCTTCCTCTCAGCTTTATGAATGTTAATGCTGTCCCTTCTCATGTCTTATGCAACAGAACGTCTTCCTATAGGAATATCCTTTAAGTTGTAGGATCACTTTGAGACTAATGAGAGTTTAAAGAAAAGGAGTTGAGTATTTTAAGTGTAGATATTTTGACGTCTTTAACAGCCAAAAATTATGAGATTTTAAAATTAGAAATGAAAAGGCCACTGAAGCATCTTACAGATTTTAATTTCTAATAAAGTAAATATCACTAATATCCCAAATAAAACAAAAATCTCTTTGGGGTCCCTTTGTTTCAGAGCAAAGGGATGTTGAGACCAAAAAGTGAGCCAACCACTATAGTTCACCCCCAGCCACGCCTGTGCATTTCCTGCTCTCACCTCATAAGGAGCCGCTGTGATGGAATTTACGAAAACCTACATAAGCCTCTGGCCCATCCTACATTTTTGGTAGTTATAGCCCAGGAAGCTGATTTTGGTGACCTGAGGAATCCACCGCAGTTAGTTTTCTCCTTTGGTTTTTTAGCCCTTGATTTTGTTTATTTTTTATTTACTGCTTTTTTGGTTTTTAAATTTTTCATTCTTTTGTTTTTTATTTTCCTTTGTTCTCCTCATTTTTAAATTTTTTCTCATTATTCTTTTTATTTTTCACACTTTTTTTCCTTTTCTCAATTTCTTTTTGTTCTTTAATTTTTTACTTTTCCTTGTTTTTAAAAAACTTTTTAGTATTGTTAGTAAAGTTAGTACAGTTAGTATAGTTAGTATTGTTGGTGTAGTTTGTACAGCTAGCTTCTTTGGTATAGTTAGTGTTACTCATTAGCGTAGTTAGGAAGCATAGGTGGCCTCGTTACTATTGTTAGTCAGTATTAGCATACTGTCATTTTGTTTGTTAGTGTAGTTAGTATGCATAGTTAGCATCGTTAGTTAGTGTTATCAGTTAGTGTAGTTAACAGGTCACCATGCTTCCAGGCCTAGCGGCCACCTCTGCTGGCAGGAAGATGTCTTCGCGATTACAAGCTCCTCAGGACCATTGGGGAGGGCTCCTGCGCCAAGGTGAAGCTGGCCCTGCACATCCCGACCAGGACCAAGGTGGCCGTGAAAATGATCCCAAAGCAGGAGCAAAGCTCCTCCAGTGCCAAGAGACTTCTCTGTGAAGTGCACAGTTTGAGGACCTTGCGTCACCCCCACATTGTAAAGCTGCTAGAGGTGATCAATGGTGAGGAGACTCTGTTTCTGGTTACAGAATACATCAGAGGAGGCAACATGCTGGACCACCTCCAGCCCTGACGGAGGAGGAGGCCCGTGGCCCGTCCCGGCAGCTCGTCTTGGCTCTCCAGTACTGCCACCGCAAGGGCATCGTGCACCGGGACCTGAAGCTGGAGAACGTGCTCCTGGACCCGGAGGGGAACGCGAAGCTGGCCGACTTCGGCCTCAGCAGTGTGGTCCCTGGCCGGCCACTGAGCACCTACTGCGGCACCCCCTGCTACACGGCCCCGGAGGTCCTGCGGCGGCAGCCCTACAACGGCCCTCCAGACGACCTCTGGAGCCTCGGCGTGCTGCTCCATGTCACGCTCACCGGGTCCCTGCCGTTCTGGGGAGAGGACTTCAGCGATGTGCGGCAAAGAGTGCTTAGGGGGGCCTACTCGGTGCCCCAGTTCCTATCACAGGAATGCGTCCAACTGCTTAGAGGCCTGATGACCGTCAACCCCAGAAAGAGGAAGACCTTGGAGGAGGTGATGGGGGACCCGTGGGTCAATCAGGGCCGGCCAAGGCTGAGGCCATATAGGGAGCTGCCTGAAGACAAGAGGGACTCTGGGTGACAGAGGCAATGATGAAAATGGGTTTTCAGTGGAATCAAATCCAGCAGTCTCTCAAAAGACGAAGGTATGACAATACCATGGCCCTGTTCCTGATCCTTAAGTCCCAGAAGCCCCAGGGGCATGGCGATGCCAGCACCGGGAGGTCCCTCCCCTCCGCCGAGGCCAGCAGCTGTGGTGCTTTGCCACCCTGCACTGTGCAGCTGAGGGCCTCGGCACGCCCCGGACGACGCGGTGGCAGTGAGCCCTTTCTGACCACCTGGCTCCGTGAAGCTGGCTGTCAGCGGCCTGAGGAGAAGCAGGAGTCAGGACTGAAGTCCACAGAGCCTCCCGGCGCCCTGCCCTGCCTGGACTCGGGTGCCACCACCCCCAGTCCAACCCCCCCATGGGTCCCCAGGGCCGTCCCCTCCTCCCACAGTGCCGGCACCAGCAGTGGGGCCTGTGAGGGAAGCTGCCAAGGAGACTCCCAGCAGGCTGGCCAGCCCGGTAGGGCGACCCCGGCCTCCCCCTCGGGCCGCAGCCAGGGCCAGGGCGGCACCGCTGGGAGGCTGCTCGAGGCCCTCTGAGGCCTGTGCTGCTGCCTGCCCAGCAGGATCTGGCAGGTCCCAACCCACTGCGGGTGATCGGACCGCCCCCATGCGTTTACATGGAGACGAGACGCGGAATCTGGAGCCGGCCTGCAATGTGGGGCTTCAGCCCAAGGTGGACACCTTCCGCTGTGAGTGGGGGCCGTACAAGAAAGACATGTTTGTGTGCACGGATGTGCAGGCGAGAAGCCTCGGTCCAGCACCTGGCGGAGCTGTGCCAACTGCAGCAGCACTCTCTACAGGGATTCAACTTCGAAGGGACCTGGTACCTCCATGGCCTAAGAAGCATCGTGTCCAAAACACTCGGTGAAGCTAGAGGATGGCCTGGAGGCGCCTGGGGTCACGTGGAGAGGCCACCCTCGCTGCAGGTCTGGCCCTCGGCCTCACTGAGGTGAAACCTCAAAGCCTGGACTGCTTTCCTGGGGGCAGAACTTCCCTCCCCATCCTCCCCATCTCTTCTTCCATGTTTATGGGAGGACGGACAGGTCTCAGAAAGTCCTTGGTTTTCCAAGTCTTGTAATAAACTTGATGCTCCAGAAAGCTGTGTTACGATATGCTGTTTTGCACCCTCCTTATGCAGAGCTGGGGCTGTGCGTGCTCCAGCTTGAGATGCGCGTAGGGATGTAGAACGTGGAGGTGATCAGAACAATTAAGTGGAGAAGTGACTCAGAATTATTGTGGTAAATCTCATAGCAACGAATGCAGTTCTGAAGGGAAAAGACTGGGAGCCGTGTTGCAGGGCAGAAAGGCAACAACTGCTGCTAAAACTAGCTAACGTTTTCAGAAGGAGCATAGGAAACTTTGATCCTGTGGCCTTTATGACTACAACCAAGAGGTCCAGAACAGGGTACCGGAGTCCCATGAGCCAGCCTGCTGCAGGGGCAGACAAGCAGCACAGGTTTGGGACCCCAAAGGGGCCTCGGGTCACTTCCACGTGCAGCTGAGTTTTCTGACTGTAACGCAGGAGTTGGGCCTGTCCACTGGGAGGATGTCTCCTTTTCATGAGTGGTGCGGAGCCGTCCCCCTGGGAGTGGTGACCCAGGTGTGGGCTGCTCACCCAGCTCCACTTCCAGTGGAGCTCCATGGGAAGCCAGACATCCTAGGGTCCAGAGGGAGGGTTGTGTATCAGGGAGCTTCCGCAGGGGGTCCTCAGAAGCCTGAGGATGTCCAGGAGGCCACTGGCTGCTGCTCGCAAGGCAGGTGGCATTGTGTTTGGAGTCTTTCCACCTGCTCACAAGACGGCCCAGGATGGTCCCAGCATGTGAGCAGGCAGAGATTTTCCTTCACCCACAGAGAACAGGGCCTGGGGAAGCAAGAAAGGGCTGGGGATGGGCTGGGAGTCTTGTCGCTCATGCTTCAGGTCCCCCGTTGTAGTTTTCTCTATGCCAAACAGCCCAGTGTGTGGTCCTCCAATGTTGCTCTCCTGGCATCTGTCCAGGGCTCCCATTCCCCTCAGGGCCAGTCCCACTGCCTGAGTGGGCTTTCGGGACCCTCTGTAACCTGTCCGCCTGCAGACCTTTGCACTCCTACCCTATCCTTGCACTTTACTCACACTGAATTGTTCAGTTTCCACAAATCCTCTGCCCATGAGGCTTACCCTCTGTGAAGCCCGCATGCCGGGCACCTGGCCAGACCCCATCGGGCTCTCCGAGATAAATCACACATGCATGAAGAGCACGGCCCAGCTGGGAAGAGAAGATGGGGACCCAACTAGAGTACAGTCCGCTGTTCCAAGGGCAGAGTCAGGACATGCCCAGCACAGCACACGCTCACCCCCTGCTGGCAGCATGGGGACAGCATCTAAACCGAGGTAGCCATCTAGCGGGGCCTGATGCGTGGCTCTGACCACAGGAATTGGAGAGGAGGCGTTCCAGACAGAAGGAGGCTGCAGTGGCAGGCACATACAAGACAGAGGCGGGTGCAAGGCTGGGGAGGGGGCTGGACCAGCACCCCTTGTTTCTGGGACCACTCCCATGGTGCACTGTGCTCTGCATCTCCGAACTTACATATCCTCCATCTCAGGCCTGGAAAGCAGTCAGCTCTGATAGTGACATGTTCTGCTAACAAGGCTTTCTCCTTCTCTTCTGAAAGCTTGGGCCCTGGCTGGCTGGCCAGCAGCTGCCTCTCAGCTCCCTCGTTAGTCCAAGCTCAGTTCCACAGCAAGGGCCCAGGGTCTGGTCCTAAGGAGCAGGGGATCACGAGCAGGGAGAGACGTGCTTGGCCTCCATTGGAGAAGACGCCTGTGGCTGCACATGCACAGAGAACCGGAGTAGGTGTGGGGCCCCATCAGGGATTTGCCAGCACATCTACCGAACACCCATGCCAGCCTGGGATTTTCAGCTGGTTCCTGATTTATGAATTAGTTAATGCAATTGGTCTGATGGACCATTTTTCACAAAACATGAACTCAGGGTAGGGAGTGGTGGCGTGGTGGGAGGAAACATTAACAGGGGTGTGGCAGAGAGGTCCGAGTGGCTCCCAATGGCATCGTCCACTTCTCAGAACAACTGAACACCTGACTCCTAGCTGGGCATGTGGCCACCCAGGATCACAGACTTCCCAGCCTCCTCTGCAGCGGGCTGGGCCTGGAACCCAGCTCTCCCTCAGGACGGGAAGGGAAGTGACTTGTGCGGCTTCCAGATATTTCCCAGGAGAGAGAAGCAGGCCCTTCTTTCTGCTTCTCCCTCTTTCTGCTGCCGGGAGCACGAGCTCTGAGGCTGGAGCTCTGTCCTGACCACACGGACGAGGGCAGCTCCTCTGGGATGACAGGGCAACGGGGACAGGAGCCTCCTGGGCAGCCCTGCCAGACCAGTGCCAACCGTCTGCCTCCAGACTGAACGTGGGAGAGGGGTCAGCTCTGTGTGCCACTCTGCTGTGGGCCTTTGTTACAGCAGCTGGACCATGTCCTGACCAGGATGGCCGTCTTGAAGGGGACTTTCTGGGGGGCTCCCTTGGGTCCGGCTGTGCCCAGGGCCACAGCTGTCTGCAATGTTCAGCCCTCCTTTCCGTGGGGTGACAGCCAAGCTCAGCTCCAACCCACTCCCCTCTCGGGGCACTTCCCTGGAAATCTGATGCGTGACTGTTGAGCTCCCAAGGAAACAAGTCTGGATCTGGTGTCCCCCAGGGCGTCCCCTTGTTCTGTGCTCCCACACTGTGCACCCCGACTCTCAAAGATGCCCCTTGTTCTGAAATAGGCCGGGCCGACTCTCTCCCTGCTGACATCTGCAGATTCTCATTACCTGCCTCAGGGAACAGGCCCCCTCACTCGTGGTGTAACTGGATTATTGCTGGAAAGATGAGTTTGGAACTGAGGAGTTCTCTGCTAAACTGAGAAGTTTAAAAGCTGAATTTGCAAAACCAACCAAGCTCCAGGCACAGTGGGCAAGCAGAGCCTGGGACTCGGTCAAGCCCTGGCCCAAGCCCGACGCCTGGGAGACAGACGTTCGGGACGTCCCAGGGGTCTGGTCTTGTCCATGTAATTCCTGATGTGCCCTCCACTTTTACGGAGGCTCCAATTTTACGGGAAAAAGGAGCTCTAGTTTATATTAAAATATTAAACTTGTCGAAGATACTGTAACAGGGTACATAGTTCCTTTGTTTATGCTGAGTGTCTGCAAAGGTTCTGGGAGGGCTGGTTCCACACAGGATGTAATAATGGAACATTTGAGGTTCAGTAAGGCCAACAGACCAGGAGACGATGCCATTGAAAAGACAGCTGGTTACTCACAGCTCCCTGAGGAGGGGCACGCAGGGCCACACAGGGAAGCCCAAGAGTAGTCAGGAGGCAGAGGGAGCGGGGACACTGCGGGCAGGAGCTTTTCCTGTGGTTTCTACAGGAACGAACAGCGAGGCAGGGTGAGCAGGCTCAGAACTGGCTGGTCTGAATAACTTCACAGGCTCTGGGGCACCGGGCTGCCCCCGTTGTCTGGTACCCACCCTGGGGGACGAGGGCAGAGGATAGTGGCCCGGAGTATGCGTGTCCAATAGAGGAGCTGGTTGGGGTGTGGATGGACACTGGATTGTTTGGTTTGTATTTCAAAAGCGGGCCCAAGAAGGAGTGCTCTTCCTGGGGGTGGGGGGGGGGGGTGACGAGGGAGGCAGGAGGCCGAATGGATAGGATTCAGAACACGGCGTATCCCCCATATGCACACAGGACAGATGTTAAAGCATCAGGTTACAGAAGCTAGAAACATGGTCCAGACAAGGGCTCAGCTCAAATGTCACCTCCTCAGAGGAGCCTTCCCTGCCTGCTCCGTCTACAATGACAGCTGCCCCACCCCAGTCTCCCTGCCATCACCTACTTCAATCCCCTCACAGTGTTGATGGCCCAGCCCCCTGCTCAGCACCCCCCCGTGACTCTCCACCCAGAGGAAGGTCCTCACAGGAGCCCCCAGGCCCTGCACCCTCTGGGCCTCCCCCTCTCTCGTCTCCTCCCACCACTGCCCCCACCCCCTTCCTGGTCCCCCAGCCCTGCTTTTCCTCTGTGGTCCTGCTGCCTTCTAACCTGCTGTGCTCTGCTCACTGTTTGTCCCTCTGTGACGTCAGCTCCACGGGGGTGGCAGAATTTGTCTCCTTCATGGCCATCGTGCCTACAGCGCAAGTCAGGGCCGGGCACAGAGCTGGGCTCCATGGACAGTGAAGGAGCTGTCGGCGCTTAGCACTCCTGGAAGCGTGCTCCTGTGTGGTCTGCAGGGTTCACTCACCCAGCTCATGTCACTGAGGCCCTGCTGCTGCTGGGCCAGCTCTGGACACCAGGCATAGTGCAGCAGGAGAAGCAGGCAGAGCTCTCCATTCTCATTCAGCTGACAGCCTAGTTGGGAGACAGAGAAAAAAGAAGGAAAATATACACAATGTCAGGTGGGCATGTGTACCATGGAGAAAAATGAAGTCAAGGAGAATGTTTAAGCAAATTCCTGAGGGTGTACAGGGAGCAAGCAATGCAGAGGGTAGAGTGTTCCAGGCTGGGAGACCAGCAAGTGCAAAGGCCCTGAGCCCACAGTGGGCTGCATGTTTGAAAGTCTTTGTTATTAGTGTGGATGCTTACTTTCATCTTGAGTCTGTATTTCACTTTTGTTTGTGATCCTTGGCTTCACCTTTCTAGCTAATTAACCTGAGTTCAGCAAATTCTATCCTATTCTATGATTTAAAGGACAAATGGGTGAATTTGGGTGAAGTTAATACGTGTTCACTGAATGGCCTCACTGGGCTCAGCCTTGTGAGGCACCCAGAGGCTGTGAAATCAACACAGCAGTCTCCACCTTGATGACCCCATTAACGAACGTCCTCACCATCCTCCAGCCCCTCCCTGCCCCTCTGCCCCACCTCGTGTGGGTCTCGAGCTCCAACGCTGACCCTCTGTTGCGCCTTTACCCCCATGTCCAGCTCCTCCTAGACTTCGCTGTCTGGGCATCCCTGAGCTTTCTGAAGTCACTTTGTCCCAAACGGAGTTCAGCTCTCGCCCCACGTCTGCCTCCTCTCCATGAAGCCCCTTGGGTGAGGGAGCCCCCACCAGCGGACTCCTCCACCCCCAGAGAAGTGGTCTCCTGATCCCTCCTGCCAATGCGTCCCACCCTCTTGATCTGCCACCTCAGGAGCCCCGGGACCCTCTCCCTTCCGTCTTCAGCCTTGGGCTGCACACTCCTCCTTTTCACAAACCCCCAAGAGGCTGGTACACTTACACACGGGGACACGGAGGTGACATAGGTGGGTGTAGGTGGGAATGGCAAGCAGCATCCCAGAGCAGAGGGCAGACCAGGGCTCCTCAAGGGCTGTGGCAGCAAGATGGCCATAAAAGGGCCAAGGTGGGCACCAGCAACCCCTCCCCACATTCCCCAGGTGCCCTGTGTCTCAGCCTCGGCTTGGGCTGGATGCCCCTCCTTCTGTCTGTTAGGTGGGTGCCTGTTCATTGGTTCACTCACTCATTCGCTCATCATGTGTTTGGTTCCTGTTTGGTGCCGGGCCCTGGCGAGATGATGGCTCATCCTTGGAGACCCAGCTCAGATCTCACCTCCTCCATGAAGCCATTCTGGATCCCCACCCCCTCCTGCAGCCCCTCTGGCCTCACTGGGCCCCCCAGTGCTGTCATCACACTCTGATGAGCTCTCCAGCCTGTGAGGTCTCGAGGTCTCTGGGCCCAATACAGAAAGGGACTCAGACACGTGATGATGGCTAAAACCTTGAATACACGAGAGAATTACCCACAGGCCACATGGGGTCAGGTTCACCACCTCGTTCTCTCTCTCTCTCCTGGACCAGGACTCTGCATTACCAGGAACCTGAGTGACCTTCTCTCACCCTGTGCTCATTTTGACCATTAACAGTCTGGATTTTTTTTCAATGCTAACTCTTTTTAAACTCTGAAGACATGTCATGAGGGTATCCCTCAGAAATGAGAAACGTAATTATCATTTCAAGGGACGGAATCCATCTGTTGTGTCTGAGCCAAGACAGGACAATATGGAAAGCACAGGATGTTGACGAGGAGCTGGCTCAGGGGCTGGGCCTGGGGGCAGCAGGAGGAGGGGAGACAGACACATAGATGGAGGCACAGCTGCCAGGGCGGGGGTCAAGCCGGGAGGAGGGGGAGTCCAGGGGCCTCCACATGTGAGGGTGGTGGCTTCCAGAGCCCCCTCTGTCATGTACAAGCCGTGTTTCTCATCAGGCAGCACCTCCAGGCCTTTGCACGAGCTGGTCCTCCAGCAGGAGCGCCTTTCCTCTGCTCTCCAGACAGCAGTGCCCTCACCCTGCGAGACTCTGCCCTTCTGGCATCTGTTCCCCAGCCTGCCCATCCAGTACCCCGCCCCCACCATGACACACACAGCCCGCTCTGTGCTTAGGTCACCTGGTTGTCATCGCCTAAGGCTGGCCTGTCTGCTTGTGTGAGAGACCGGCAGACTAGCTTTCTAAGTCTGCGTGACCTTGGACGGGTCCCTCGTCCCTTTGGAGGCTCAGTTTCTCACTGTAAGTGGGTCTGGCAGTGGTCTCCTCACGGTGGTGCTGTGCTCTCTGAGCTGCTGGAGATGGAGCGTTGGGCGGGCACCTGTTGCTGGTGCCCTTCATGCTGACCCCGGGGTCATGGCCCCAGCATGCCCAGGGTTTGTGGAACGCCTGGCTGTAGCCATGCACGAGGGAGTGGGAGACGGGCAGGAGGTCAGGGCACAGCTTTGGAATCAGAAGATACAGCATTCCTTGGGGACACTTCCCTGAGCCCCTGGTCCCAGGCCTTGCCCACCCGCACCCCTTCTCAGCTGCCTTCGGGGCACGCAATGAACCCCTGCTCTGAGGCTGCATTCCCCGTGCGTCTAACCCAGGCTGGACACTGCTGTGGTCACGTCCCGGGTGAAGAAGTGAAGCTCCACGGGGCTAACGGGAGGACAGCAAACTCAGATGCCTCCAGGGGTCGGGCCAGCTGGCACAGGCTGCGGAAGGACCTGGGCAGGGGGACGCTTAGGGAGTGGAGGGGACTATGGTGAGCCGGGGGCACAAGCTCTGTCCAGAGAGCGGCTCCAGCTCAGCTCCAGAAGAGCATCACCTTGAGGGACTGTCACAGGTGGCCAGATCCTCTCATTTCATACATAAAATAAGCTAGACAGATGGAATTTCATCTGTAATTTTCCACTTTTTAAATGTTAGAGTTAACTTTTAAAATCTAGATTTCCCTGGGGCCCTGGTTGAGGCTCTTGGTTTCAGATGTCTGGCCCGGGGTGGGCTCAGGAGCGGCTGCCAGAGGCGACCCGGACTCTGGATGCTCTTGGCCCTGCAGTCTCCACTCCCCTCAGATCCCCCACCTAGTGCCTCCTTGTGGATGTTCAGGGGCAGCTCAGCCCCCAGAAGAGAGAACGGGGGCCTGCAGGCTGCTGGGTGGCTGGCTGCCGTACTGGTGGCTGGGCTCTTAGGGGAGCCACCCTTTCCTTCAGCAGCCCCATGGCAGGTGGTGCTGCCCAGGGCCCACACACCCCACCCCCACACACACACTCCTGGCACATCCCTCCACCCCTCTGTGAGCCCGACTAGACTCGCTCTGTGCACTGACATTTTTCAGGGCACCCATGGGACGGAGAGCAGTATGCCCTCACGGTGCAGGACAGAGAGCCGGACCCT